TGGTGGTCCACTCAGGTGCCCGTTCGTGCCTGAACAAATGAGGTCTTCCACCACCAGTAAGGCAGGGACTGAGTCGGTGTGACGTAAAACCCCATTCAAACAAACACTCATCTTAGTAAAAAATATGATAAACAAGATCATCAAAGAAAGGCGGCATTTAATGAAACCCACAAACAATTAATACAGTAAATTCTCTCTATTGGTCTTAATTGTGAATTAGCTGTTGTAATATCTGGCGACGTCAAACTTACTTAACGTATACATTTTATAGTTTAATGCACGAAGGCAACTGTACTTAAATGAGTAAACGAAACACATTAAATAATTATTTAAAAAATCATTTTAATGATAATGTGATACATTATTAATACAATGACAATAATAAACATATACTAACCATTGATACAGTGAAGAATAAAATCATTAATGTAATGACATTTAAAACGTTTAAATCATTGATACATTACATAGCTAGTGAACTACATTAAATCATTGTTTACAAGCACTTCGTTTTTGCTTGAAAACTCTCAATTGTCACTTGCTTTGTCCTACACATTGAAATCACTTTCTTCTTTCTAGTGTTTCTTCTGCAGTATAATTTAAGCTGCTGCAAGTGTTGTAATGCCTCTTGGTTTGATTTGATTTGACATTGCAGTTCAGCATTATCATAATCCTGGTCATCTCATAATATATCACCATTGGATTCAACGGTGGCTTTTATAGTGTCTCTATGAACAGCTAACATATCATGCTCCAAATTGTCTGTCAAATCCTCATGAACTGGAGCCTCCTCATCAGCACTGACGTACACCTCTCGTGTCATCGGTTCAAATTTGTTTAGACGCTCACTGGCAACTCACCAAAGATCACCAATAGGAACTAGTACATCGACATCCTCGTGTACATTTATGACATCACTAGAGCAAAGAACTTCACAACAGTCTCTTTTTCACATCTTTCATTGCTGCGTTGACCCACTGGATGGCGTTAAGCACATTTAGTTGTTTTGAGATAGTTTCAACTGTAGATGACCTGATTTGCATCAACATCCATAGGAGTATGCTAACAAATTTGTTGCCCTGTGCAAGCTTAACTTAATGTGAAGTTTGACTGAAAATAACCACAATTTCCGATGAGATGCGGCATATTTTAAAAAAGTCACAAAAACATAAATCATTTTAAGATACGATTCGTTAACGTCAACATTTTTTTCATTAAATATTCCAAACCATACCTTCAAAAGTGATTTTCTTTTAAAGATATAGGGTATTTAAGTTTAATTGTATCATAGTTTGGGGACCTTTCTGTTGAAAAAGTGTCAGAGTTAAATCGTATACATATACATGCACAGTGCGGTAACTGGAGTGCAGGTATCAGTTACCCGCACTCCAGATAATGCCCGTGGATTGGTTCATTTTTGCCGGGGTTTACATATTTTGACGGCAGAGAAAGGGAAAGGGGTAGAACTATCATATTCAAATGCTCGTTCATTGGTTATTTTTTTCCAGGGTTTAATATTATGACAACAGGGAACGTGCTGTCATGTTTGACTATGATACAAAATAGAAAGAACACCAAAACACTCGGCAATCTGATTTATACTCGGGGGCTACGCCCCCTCGTACAAATCAGATAGCCTCGTGTTTCGGTGCTCTTTCTATTACATGTCTTTAAATTTGAGTAATGTCATCAACCGTTTGAAAAAATCAACATCCATTCATCAGAAGAAATGAATAACGCTAAAATCATTCAACGAATCAATTTTCAGGGCTTTTGCGCTATAGTAACTAGGAAAGAGTAAAAACTTTTTTGTTTATTTAAAATATTCATGGTACTTTGTAATAGACCTCATACTTAGGTAAACCATATTCACTTCAATAATTTCTAAATTTTACAGCACATAAATTAATTTAAAGTATGATTATTATTTGATTATAATTTAGTTGTGTAACTTTGTAACCCGAGATATGAAAGGGCATGGATAAATAATGCGGAATATTCTCGCATAGAGGTTACATTTTATGGGGTACATACACATGTACACACACACGCATATTTTGGTAATGGTAAAAGGCCGCAAAGAAGAAACTAAAAGCACCACTCCACATCACATGTATACACAAGAATTATGTCGTGCTGAACGATCTTTAAGTATCGGAAATATAACATCTCTGATTGAGTGTACGTGGTGACTTTTTACAGCCTCCACACGACACAAATAACGCCAACGTGGCGATAAAATAGCGAAAATAAGAATCCCTAAACACAGCCCGAAAAGGCAAAATTGAAAGTGTTGCAGGCTTGGTTTGATTAAGCGTTTTAAACAAAGCCTGCAACATTTTCAATTAAACGGTTTTTGGGCGATATCCAGTTTTTCTTCTAGTCTACAGACATGAAATAATAAAAGGTAAGTTATCCACCACACAATACTTGAAACAATATTTACAGAGTTAGTTTCTTGTCTACTTTTATCTCCAGCAGGTGAAGTGGTTTTGACCTCTGGTGTTGCTTAAGGTTTGTAGCATTTGAGGTTAGCCAAAGTCATCCTTCATACTTCGGTCAAATATAACATAAACTGTGTTGATGCTAATAAAATAGCAATACAGGATTGGTTTACTTCTACATTAAACTAAATTACTAAAACATTCCGAAAGGTGTTATTCAAATTCTCATGAACTAACACAAAAGTCGGTTAGAATTGGCTCACTGTTTACAACACCGATTTATTTAATTTGAATACTGCACTAGATTTTGCTTGTTTGTCTTCTCATTTACAGATGAATATTTTATAATCATGCATGCCGATTTTCTTTTAAAAGTTTGTTTTTTAATATTTTGGATACAAAAAAAATGGCTTCCAGCTTTCAGGTTCATCCAAATGAACTAAATTTGTAAGTCCCCAGGACGACGAAAATAGATGAGACAAGCAACATTGTGTGATGTCTAAAGAAAAGCATAAAAGCATACTAAACTCGAGTAAATAAAATGATCAGTCACGACCGAAAGACAATATGTCAATCACTTGATTCTTACCATGTCTTTTTTATTCGTGATAAAGCGTCTTTCATTGTATTTTGCAATGATATATTGTGATATTAAAGAACGAATCGTATTGTCTTATTGTGTTGATTACACGATACTTCTCTGTCAAATGATTCTTGTTAATATTATCAAATTTAAACATTATCTTCAAATATGTATGAATATAATATATAAACTTCATAGTAATTATATTTAGCGGACTTTTCTTTAAAATATGTTTTATTTTCAAATGCAATTCATTTTTAGTAGTCGTTACTATACCTTATACAAAAGTGAAGTTTTATCGATGTATTTCAGGCTTTCCGTTCAACTGGTTTAATTTTTTTATAATCCGTCATGGTTATTTAATCGGTATTATTATATCAAACAGGTTTGTTATGCCTTTGCCACCTATAAAAAATATACATATATAATAGAAAAAAATACTTTACTTTTTGCAGTATATTTTATAATTTCCAAACATGTTCAACCAATAAAAAACGTGGAAGTAAGGATTGCAAACTGAAAGAAAGGTTTTTGTAGAAAACCACATAAGTTTTTTTTTATGATTAAAGCACATTTATATGAAATTATTTAGAGCATAAAATTGATCAAAATATTTATTGACGACTGTATAATGATCAATAATAAAAACAACCTTCCCAAATATATAATAGAAACAGCCCCCCCCCCCCCCCAAATTAATCACCATCGAGTCTGTAGGGTTTCTTCATTCATTTCAACATCATTAATTTATCGTCTGCCATTTCTAATCAAGATCCCAGACACACGTTGTCCTATTTAGAGCAAACATTTATGTATATAGACTTTTGAGCCTATTCGCTGTATTGCTTCAACTGATTTATTCAGTTTTTTAACATTCCGTAAATAGACAAAAAAGGAGCAATGTCTTCCATGTTTATAAAATGACTGCATTATAAAATAAGAATCATGCATAAATTTTTGCTGAGAATTGTCAGCTATACCTTATAGATGTCTTTCTTTGTAATATCACAAGTTCAAATATTCACATTTTGGTATATTTATGCAATTTTTTTTAAAACAAAATTCACACAATCGTGTTAAAAAATTTTCATCTCCTTTAGCAAGCATTTAGGGTTTGAACCTTTATCAGAGTTTAACGAATAATCTGTATTTCATACATGATAATTATAAGTTTAAACGTAACAAAACGGCCTTTTGATATTACATAATTATTCAATACAAAACGATTGTGGGATATCTTTGAACATTCAAGAATTACATGTTATCACAAAGCCTACGAAGGCTGTTTATAAAACATCCATCAAATGATAAAGGTAACTACTTAAAACATTTTAACGAAACATACTAAAATCATTATCTGGACATTATTACACTCAATACGAATGGAAAACCCTTACTTACCAACTTGCTGCATTAATAATTTTTAATGACTTTAATAGTCATGGTTTTTATCACACACAAGTATTTTTGAATTACGCTGGCGCGACACATAACTTGTCATGTAGTGTATGGCTCTTAATAAAAAAATTAATTTGTCATTGTACATTTAAACTCAAACGAACAAGCAAACAAAGAAAGAATTGTGCAATTAAAAACAATAAAGTATAACATAATGTGTAAATTGTCGCAAATATTATTAGCCTAAAATAGCGTTTTCTGTTCTTAAACATTTTACATGCTCTGAATCAATGATTAAAATCTTATTTAACACATGTTTGACTTTCTACAGACTGAATAAAAATAGGGATTTCTGAGGCATAATGTGTCTCTAAAAATAGAAAATTGCGTTACATCATTTAAATGTAGTTAAAAAATTGCCATCACCGTTTACATATGTAGTAAAGTAGTGATAAGAAAAAAAACATAACGATTGTATAAACAAAGATGTTCTAAAAACCTTTATTTTAAATCAATACTGATAACACTTTAATACTGAAATATGTTCCCTTCTTATCAGTTTTTGTAAAATAAATGACTAATTTGACAACAAACACACGTCATTATTTGATGGACGAATTGAATCCTTTCGCAAGGGTATCTGTTAAATCTTAGCCTCTTTACGATATCTAACACTAAATCTGACACGTTTTGTTGTTTAATAACAAATAAACTTAAGACATTATAATGCTGTCGAAAGATGCAAGGTTCGGGATTATTTTCTCATTGGGAACTGTTTACTTTATAAGTTTTTGGCTGTTAACAGTTGGATATTTTGCTCCAGGTTGGTAACATATTAAATTCTTAAAGATGTGTTGAATAACAATAAATTAAATAAGACCGAAAGATAATGTTTTGCATGTACATTGGACAAAAAATATCGAATCACGCCATATTTATATTGGGTTACAGATAAAAAAACGTTTTAATCAGTGACCTTTGTCAATCTTTTATGGTCGATAACATGTAGCCTTGCATTAAAACCATACACGCATCCGGACATTAACGGAGGAAAATATATTTAAATCACATGAGCGCTGGAGGTATTGTAAATATGCGTTTCTCGCCATGTACAAAGACTGACTGCAATGGCGGTCACGGTAATTTAATTATCAAAATATAACAATTAAATATCATTATCACACCCCTTTTCATTAAAACAAAAATATAACAGAACGCGAAATCAACGATTTAGTCGGACGTATACTGACATGCAAGAAAAGCAATAATGCATTTTAACATCGTCCGACAGTCCCTCGGCCTTTTTTATTCTTCTTACCCGAAAATGTGTCTGAATTGCTTTTATCATATTTAAACTTACTCTCTGGAAATGATTCTGCCTTCCACGCCAATTTGTGGAAATTAGATAACTGCTTTACATAGTTTGATTTCTTTTCACAGGGTAGGAATGATACATTATGCCATTGATATACATTATAAATTATGACTCCGACACAAATAAATATTACCTTTTTATGAAGGACAAATAATTTTATAATTGTGCATGCCGTTTTTCTTTTCCAAAGTTTTTTTGTTTTTATATTTTGGATACAAATGGCTTCCAGCTTTCAGGTTCATCCAAATGAACTAAATTTGTAAGTCCCCAGGACGACGAAAATAGATGAGACAAGCAACATAAAGTTTAGTCTAAAGAAAATATAAAACCAATCTGAAATCAAGTAAATAAAATGATCAGTCACGACCGATAGACAATATGTCACTCACTCGATTTTAACCATGTCTTTTATATTCGTGATAAAGCGAAATGATTCTGCCTATTTGCGGGCTCAGATGCTAAGGACTGACTTTAAATTTGAATATTACTGCATTTAGGATACAGTGTAGGAGTGCATTTTATGATCAGGTCATCAGTAAAGAGCAGCGTAAAGTCTTATAGATCAAGAATAATCTATAATAATGGCACGTGTCATTTACACAAATGTTTTGCATCAAATTATCTAATTTTATCGAAAATTTCCCAATGACATGTCACTTGTTTACGATACGCAGTGAAAATCAATGGTATTTCATATCAGCGAACACTTTGTTTGCAAAACATCGAATTTTTAAAATGTAGGATATGTTTTTACTGATAAAGGCCTCAACAACCTGTCCATCTGAAGAATAGGGTATTAAACTAAATATTTAGCTCGTGCATTCTTTACGTTGTCCCGTAAGAGCTAACGCTACACATAGATAAGTCTAAACAACGAAAACAAGAAATTACGATAGTGAAAATCGAAGTAACGAAAACACGGTTGTAATAAAGAAATAAAAAAAATCGTAAGTATGGTGGTTAAAAGTCAAAATAAAGAAACCACGATAGAGACAACTCGATATAATATCGAACTTTCGTCTTTTCACTATTGTGCTTTTGACTTTTCAGCATCGTATTTTCGATTGTTCACCGTCCGTTTTGGTTTCGTTATTACGACTTTTCACCATCGTACTTTCTAATTTTAATCATCGTACTTCCAAATGCGATGTGGGGATGGCACTAACGGCACACCCCAGTGCTATGACGTTTTCTATTTATACAAGTCGGCCAGTAGGGTCATGTTTACGCCATATTACAATACCAATAGAGAATTAGATAACTGCTCAACGTTTGCTTTCTTTTCACAGAGTAGGAATGATACATCATGTACATTATGCCATTGATATACATTAAAGGCACATTATAACTTTGACACAAATAAATATTACCAAACATGAGCTTTAAAATATCTAAATAATATTTTAAGAGCATATTTTATGTTTATTACCTGAATAAGGTAGCGCTGTCACAAAATTAGCAAAATGTAAACAATTTTGTTTGTTTGTTTGTTTCATTTTACGCCTTTTCCCAACAGTATTTCAGTCATATAGGCGGGTAGTTTCCTTACCATCGTTCCTGGAGAGAAACGCCAGTACTAGACTACCTTTCTCCGTGCTAAACTACCAAAGCATCTCCCAGGGATCGAACCCACGCCAGAGAGGTTACTAGATTAGAAATCATCGACTCCAACCCCTCGACCACGGAGGCGGTAAAATGTAAACAAAGTAGCATTTTGACTTCCATAAAAAACTTAATCACAGACGAAGTATAATTCAGGTGATTAGCAAATGAGTATTGTTTTGGGGCATAACGGGCCTTTATATCACTCCAGCGCATAGAACAGAATCAAATTTAAGTATAGTGGAGTATAATTTAATTACTCTTTGGATTACTCCAATCACATGAAAGACTTAAAATAGAGAGCACAAACACTGAAGTATAATTTCCAAACTTTTATTTTTGCTAACAATGTATAATTTTAAAGCCTAAAGAACACAATATGAATTTTGAGCCTTAATATTATCCATAATAATTCGAAATCCTGAGAAGCTCTGACACTGAAATCTGAATCTATAGCAATAAAAAAATTCCGCCAAAGCAAATATCACGAGAAAATTAAGAAACATGATTTATAACAAAATACTCCGCCGGATTAAAACAAAGTACTCCGCCGGAGAACATATGTACAATAATGTGTAAAGATTATGCCGGAGCATTACAATTAGTAAAACAAAATTATGAGGTCACCGGAGAAAATAATAATTTGTGGATTGAATATAATTTCGCGATCCTGGCGACATTCCCCACAAAGCATAAACAAGATAATGTCCTACCTTGATCAATAAGTATCATTAAATGCAGATAAATCAAGCAACAAATATTTTAACAAATTAAGATTCAAATACACATTTATGCGAACTAATGTTTGTTAAATGAATGATAACGAGTCAAAATTGTTTTATTACTGCTTAATTTCATAGCAATGATAATCATCCTCATATCTGCTGGTCTTGAGTATGGGAGAATCGCCTCGATACGTTGAATACACAAGCCAGTCCTTGTCCATACTTCGACAATAGCCCTGAGCGTTCGTCTCTCAATTTCAGAATCTTTTCCTCAGAATTTGACGTAACAACATTCACATTACGACCATCAGCATCATCATCATCAACATAATCCTTCTTATCTATCATCATCATCATCATCATAATCCTCCTCATCATCAACCTCATAATCCTCGTAATCATCATCATCATCAATTGCGTAAATAACATTGTTGTTTTGATCAAATTTATCACTAGTCTCTTTTTCACTGACGTCACTGTAATTAAGTGTAGTGTTTCGAATATTAGATTCCATACTAACTTCATCAGTGCTGGAACTGTCTATCTCCGTCACATGGTTTTCTATGACATTCTCAATCAAGCTCAAATCACTTTGATCAGCATAAAATAGACATTCATCATTCACATTAATATCTGTTTCTTCATTACATTCCTTTGGCTCATTTACTTGTATTTTGCCATCAGGCATTGTATTGGAAATTGATTCAATTTCATTATTTTCAAACATTCCAATATTGAAACTTTGTATGACTTCGTCATAGTTTTCAGCGTCCATTTCCTCGTTCTCAGCTAGAATATCACAAATGTCTTCGTCAGAAGAGACATCTTCATAATAATTAGAGGAGTGATGGATATCTTCACGTGTTGCATTCAACGTCTGGCTTCAGAACGGTGACATTTATGAATATTTGTAAGGTGGTCTAACAAATATCTTCTACTGATAAATTTTCCTGAACATTCTGCTTCAATGCATCTCCAATGCTTCAGCTCTGAATGCTTCTCCGTAATATGTCTTGATCGGTTTCTTTTATATTTGTACGCTCTTTAACAAATCTTAGATCTTAGCAACTTAGATCAAATAAATTGCAACCAGAAAGCAACTACTTAGTATACTAGATTTCAACTTTCACCAATTTATTACTGATGAATGTTTACGGTATTTTTTCATCTTATTTCAGCCACATTCAATGGAAACTCTTTCAAACTTTTGACACCTGCCATTGTAGTTGTGTATACAAATGCCAGTTTGCTAATTATAGCGATTATATTTGACATGTTTGAATATACGTTGTACATGTCTTTTCTGTCCATTTCATTTGGCGTATTCTATCCAGTTGCAGGTAAGTAAGCAATGGATATACATGTAAGTAATTTAGCATCATTGTTTATAGTAAAGAGTGAAAAATGATATATCTCACAGTGTGTATAACTCAGTATGGTTAGAGTCTTTCAAACAGTTTCGATCGACGTCTCTTTATTGTGTTTGTTTGTGTGTTTGTTGATGTTGGGTTTTTCTTCTTTTTTGTTGTTAGCTCACCTGAGCATATGCCAAGGGTGAGCTATTAGGATCACTCTTTTCCGTCGTCTGTCGTCCGTCGTCCGTTGTCCGTTCACACTTTTAAAACGACATCTCCTCTGAAACCATAAGGCAGATTATAATGAAACTTCACAGGGATGTTCCTTGTGTGAAGCTTTAACAAAGTTGTTCAAAGAATTGCATTCCATGCAGAACTCTGGTTGCCATGGCAACCAAAAGAAAAAACTTTAAATATCTTCTTCTAAAAACCCAAAGAGCTAGAGCTTAGATATTAGGCATGAAACATCTTGTAGTGAATGTCTACCAAGTTTGTTCAAATAAAAGCCCTGGGGTCAAAATTCGCCCCGTCCCAGGGGGTCATTGATTTTCCCTATATGCATATCTATAGTAAAAACTTAAAAAATCTTCTTTTAAAGAACCCAAAGAGCTGGAGCTAAGATATTTAGCATGAAACATCTTCTAATGCGTGTCTACCAAGTTTGTTCAAATAAAAGCCCTGGGGTCAAAATTGGCCCCGCTCCAAGGGGTCATTGATTTTCCCTATATGCATATAGTAAAAACTTAAAAAAAATTCTCTTAAAGAATGCAAAGAGCTAGAGCTAAGATATTTAGCATGAAACATGTTCTAATGGATGTCTACCAAGTTCGTTCAAATAAGAGCCCTGGGGTCAAAAATTTTCAAATAAAAGCCCTGGGGTCAAAATTGACCCCGCCCCGGGGGTCATTCATTTTCCTTATATGTGTATGACAAAAACTTACAAAACCTTCTTTGAAAAAAACTCAAATAGCTATAGTTTAGATATTAAGCACGAAGCATCTTCTAGTGAGTGTCTACAAAGTTTGTTCAAATAAAAGCACTAGGGTCAAAATTGGCCCGTCCCAGGGGACATTGATTTTCCTTTTATGTGTATAGCAAACACTTAAAAATCTTCTTTGAAAAAAACCTGAATAGCTAGAGATCAGATATTAAGCATGAAACATTGTCTAGTAAGTGTCTACAAATATTGTTCAAATAAAAGCCCTGGGGTCAAAACTGGCCCTGCCCCATGTGTGTCATTGTTTTTAACTATATGTGTAAAGATAAAACTTGAAAAAATCTTCTTATAAAAAACCCAACAAGCTAGACCTTAGATGTTTAGCATGAAACATCTTCTAATGGGTGTCTACCAAGTTTGTTCAAATAAAAGCCCTGGGGTTTAAACTGGCCCCGCTCCAGGGGCCTATATACCGGTGAGCGACTTTAGGGCCATCATGGCCCTCTTGTTTTTATGTTGTTTTTTTATCAAAAAATTTCCGTCACGTTTCACTTTTTAACATTTTGACGAAAAATAAACTGTTACAGTTACTGTAGTAAAATGATTTCCCTAAAATTATATGTCGGCGATAATAAACTGTTTAACTATTTAGGCAATATTCTGTTTCAGCAATACTTACTATAGTAGCCACTTTTTTCATGGAGAGAGCATACAAATGGAACACAGGGTATTCTGCAATTCTGTGTACAATAGCTGGAGGTTTCATGCTGATATTTGTTAGTATTATGTTTCATATTTCATAGCTCAAAGATAAAAAATATGCATATTTTCCTAAATATTTTGAAAACCGTGATATAGTATATGACAATAACGATCATTCTAGCAATCATATCAATTGCTTTGAGATTCCATTTGGATAAATGTGTCATTTTTTCAAAAATATAACACTTCTTTACTTGGCGGGGTCGTGGGGCGAAAACACGAATGGCATAAATCAGCCACCATAAAAAACGTTAAAACGCTTTAATTTTTTGGAAAATTATTGTTCTGGAAAATGGACAGTGTAAATGATGTACCGTTTTAAACACAAGCTATTGAATCAGACCTTCATTAAATGGTATATAAATCGTAAACATATTCTACTCTTTTCATTTAAAACACCAGGCGTTCCTTTAAGACTTTTTTCCAAGTTTCATTTGTATATCTTTTTTTTCCAGTATGTCGGACTAATCCTGTATGATAGGCAATACATAAAAAGAAGTATGACGGCATCATCCTCAATTGTAAAGAACGCAAAACAAACCAAAGTACAATGGGAACACAGAAGGAATCATGCATCTAAACGTGGCAATTCTTTTTACGAAACAAACATGAAGAAAAACTGCACAAATCCCTTTCGCAATTGGGGTTTAAGTAGAACATAGTATTTACAGCTATACAAAATTTTGCCAGATAATTATTTATATTGCGAAAGGTTTTGTTCTGTCAGTTGTTTCATTATTTATTCTACTCCTTTGGTATGTCCTGCTGCGATACTTTACAGTAAACTAAACACACACTTTACATAATAGTTTTCCTACAACATATAACGGAACGCATTTAACATTATTTAAGCCTTATATGCATTCGATACAAAAACATGTACGTACACTTGTTGACGTTGATTAAAATGAACTATATCATGTGGCTTAAGAAATTTTTCATGTGTTTGAAGATCGTATTTGTGAAGAATGTTAGATGAGCTCTGTTGTGCGTGTTATTTGTTGTTCCTTTTAACAAAAAATGATGAAACACTTTGGAATCGCCCAAAATCTACTTTTTCCATGTTAACATGTGGTTTTTCACCTAATTTTGGTGAAAAATTGTTGTTTTGTAACATTTATAATTTTTTTAGTTAACCCTTTCCCACATGAGCATATTTTGAAAAATGGCCGTTTTCACTGAAAAGCCTCCTGTTACAAGTTCAAACTGCTATGAAACTATGAAAATGCTTCAATACTAATCAAACTTGGCACAAATGTTGACTGGACCATTGCCTTTGTACGGACATGCTCAGTCTTAAATTTTCTGTTCCCATGGCAACGAGGGGACATCTCAAAATTGCCAAAAATCACTATTTGCCTCGATTTTTCCATCAAAATTTATTTCAAAGTGCTGCAACTTCTCAAGGGATTGAGATAGAGTCAAAGGCTTTTCAGCGTTGGTTACACGTTACCTTATGATCGACCTGGGGTCATTTTCAGCCTCTGACAAGTCCAAAATTTTCTTGGCGATGATTTGACTCTATCTCAATCCATTGAGAAGTTACAGCACTTTGAAGTCAATTTTGATGGAAAAGATCGAGGCAAAATAGTGATCTTTGGCAATTTAGAGATGTCCCCTCGTTGCCATGGTAACAGAAAATTTAAGTCTGAGCATGTTGTTGCAAGGGCAATGGTATAGTCAACATTTGTGCCAAGTTTGATTAGTGTTGAAGCAGTTTTTATAGTATTATAGCAATTTGAACTTGTAACGGGAGACTTTTCAATGAAAACAGCCATTTTTCACAAAGTGCTCATGAAGTAATGGGTTAAAGTGAGATACATGTAATATTATTTAATGCTACGAGGTAGCATACCTTTGATATAGCATTCCGTTTGTTTGATAACAAATGTAATAAATGATTTTTAACGTTTATCATCGTTTACCAACGTTTATTTCTAAGTTTTTTATTTTGATAATTTTTTATCTTTTTATTTTTGTTCTTATGCTGTTGTTGTTTTTTTGTAATTTATTTATTTTTATCGACCTTAAAAGCGGTAAAATCACAATTTATTTACAGTGGTAAACGAATCATCACCTTATAATCTAAACCAAATGCGTATTCATTTTAATCATATTTGACAATGTTGTACATTGGGACCACACTTTTGCAAGAATTATAATTAATATTTGCTTTGAAAGTTTTTAATCGTTTCTAACTTAATTAAGAGGTGAATACAAACAGCAAATACTGCAGTCATCACACGGTCAAATTTGTAGCGTGGTGGCTCTAATTGATAATGCAGATCAATAGAAGAAACAAAGGATTTTCGTTTGCTAAAAGAAATTTCAGAGCAGGGACTTCGGCTAACCGATTTGGAATCGAACATTATTTGGAGACCTACAGAAAATGTCTCAATCTGTTTAAAATCAGCTCCTTATTTACGCTACACAATTAATATCTGACGACCACCAATAAGTTGTCACATTCACATGTCGTTTCAAACAGCCAATCATCGGCAAGCTTTCACAATTTTAAAGGCAGTGCGGTTTCTAATTTTAATCGCTGGAAAACAAATACTACACGATTTTGGTAACAAACATTGCGTTTTCACTATATAATTGGGTCAATTATTTTCAGTTTATTTGTTTCAAATTATTTCAAACACTTTTTTTTTCAAACAAAAAAAAGCAATTTGTTTTACGTCCACGGACAACGATATTTGATCTTTCGTCTAATGGCTATGTGTAAATGGTTTGTTTTAATGGCTAAAAATAGCTGGAAATCCGGATTGCTATAAAGGGAAAACAAATCTGGTGGCAATCAGATATACATGCTAGAAATAACTAAAACAGATCTGAACGTTTGTCAGATTGGGAAATTTGCTTACCATTTCACTTCTTTCTCTTTAAAGTAAAGAAATATGCTTCACTCTACTTTCCGTTTTACTGTAAACTAGAATGTATTATAGCGTAAATTAAAAGGTAATTAGTTGTCGCCTTAATACAATCAAATAATTAATTAAGATGAATGCAGTAACGTTTATATAAGCATATAGTCTGACGGGCAAATTAGTGGCATGCCACAATATATTCCGGAAATAACCAGAAAAGTGTTTTCGCCTCAAGGGTCTTCGTACTTGTCAATAACTCATTTTTTAGCTTTATTGATTGATTGATTTTTCTCGTTTTATTTCATGTTTATAGTACTTTTCTCATATCAATACATACTCATGTAATTTTTGTTATCCTAAAAAAAAACTAATTTCTGTTACCTACAACTTGAATGGTATTATATCGCCACATGGTCGAGTAAATGACAGCTAATTCAATGGCATATTTACAACTGAAACCAATATTATGATTAAAAGGGTTTTGAATATACGTATTTGTACCTAAAAAGTATCATTTCTTACTTTAGTATTTTTTTTTAGTTATGTTTTCCATGTTTGAATGTCTAGCTTATTCTATATTGTCTAGCTCAACAATAATTATATCAATTTAGAAAAAGGATTAATAATTTTACTGAGAACATGGCTATGCGCTGTACACCTGTGTTCTAGTTAGGAAATAGATATCAATTCTGAGTGCATTGTTGTAGAATAATGCACAGTTTGAGTTCAAATGCGTAGTAACATAATCACGAAGGCCGATAGTCCTGGGTGATTAATTACAAGCATTTGAACGAAAAAACGTGCATTATTATACTATCATGCACGAAGAAATAATATCTATATCCATCCTAACACGTCAAGTAAAAATACAATGATTATTATATAGTTGGACTTTATGTTTGGTGGTTAAATTTGTTTTTGTTCTTTAACGGCTGTTCCAGTGGGTTGAAAAAAACCTGTTTTTAAATCTACCGTGTGGAGAAACATTTTGAGTATAACGAATTTAGGAAACGTTGATAAAATGTGTTTGTTTAATTTATTTCACTCTATTTTTTCAAGCGTAATACAAAGTATTTATAGTGAAATAAATGTAAAATTAACTCGTTTCTAACATTGAAACAGCGTTTTTGATTTGATTGTTTATGCACGTGCTGTTTGGCCCTACATTGTGACGTCACGTAAACAACACTGTACATCGTTAACGACTGAATTATAGATATTGGTGTTTTGTGATTCATTTTCTTAATTAGACCATTTCGTTAATTCTAGATAGTTTTCACAACAAAATTCGAAAAAAAATGTTTTCTATATATCAGATTTTTCAAACAAAAATGGCACCGTCGATGTGTCGTTTTGAAAATACACAGGGCGGTAATAAAAACGGCGAGTGCATTGTTGTAGAATAATGTACGCTTCCGGCCTTCTTTGTCTATATAGGAAAATCTCCGATAGTGTTAGAATTTGCCTTTTATTAAAGGAGCAATTATTGTTAAAACAATATCATTACCCCTAACTATGTTAATTTTCCACAGGCCAATGGGAAATATTCTTACTGTAAATCTAATTCAAGTGTAACATGTGATTAGAAATTAGTTTAATAGTTGTAAAGGAAACTGTTCTTTTTAACAGATCAAATCTGGCAACGTGGTTTAATTTCTAAAATAATAAATGGTTGCTACTTTTTTCTCAATTCAGCCTCTAGTGTTTCGAAGTTTACTACGATGAGTCATCACCAGACTGATTATAACAACTAGAGCATTAAGTTGACATGTTTGTTACCTAGAATGTTTTTCAGGTCTTGTATTATGGGTGAAATAGTCAAAAAGTAAATATCCGTTTTCATCGGAAGTTATTGCATGGGAGCATGTATCAGAAATAAGACAAACAAACGATTAAATTATCAGAAGATTATTTATCGAATTTGATCAGGGTAACTTGAAACATGACATAGACAGGATACCGAAATTGTACACCAATGGAATAGCGGCCATACTCTGGATAAGATTATACGTGTATAAAAAAGTTTGTGTATTGGTTTCTAAATGAAACACAGCTTATTGTTAGTTTTATGGCTGATAGATACCATCAAAGAATAAAAGAAAAATAACTTCCCAAGTGCACTTACAAATTGTCAGTTAAGGAAAGTTGAGTTGTTATTTTTTGGTTCAATTTTGTTACAGATTTAGTTGAAATTTTCAGTTTATAACATATTTGTTCGGGGAATGAAATAAGTATGTGCGTTTAAGAGTAACATTAAAATTATTATCCGTAGGAAAATACTGTTACCTGAGGCAAAGTGCAATGTTTTGCATTATTACCTAGTGAGAATGGACATAAGACTAAATGCCAAGATAAATTATATCAACATTATTAATTGTAAACCGTATGTAAATGTGTTTAAACATATTTAATATTTTATTAAAATTCATTAATGCTCAATTTTAACATACTCTTGAAATATAGCAAAGAAATTCGTTCATAAATGGCGCCATGGCCGAGTTGTGAACACATTGGACTAGTAATCTAAGGAGTTCTGGCTGCCTGGGCATAAAGCCCGTCAAGGACAACCCATTGTTTCCGTGACCAAGAAACTTTATACTCTGCTTACTATTGGTTAGATCCCGGAACGGATTCGAGAATGTTTCAATAGGTTTTAAGCTACTAAAACAACCGGACTAAAATACATTCATATAAACTTATACGAAAATATGTTAATGTACGCGACTGTTGTCATTAAACACGATTTTAATGAGTGTAGCATTTTTAAGCGGCAATAGAATTGAATTCAATCATAAAGGTTCTATGTTATGTAGTGGGGGTTAACAGCTAAAACAAGAATTATTCTTTAACCAAAATAAAAGGGGCAGATACTTTCTAGCATAAAAATACATTTCATACATAAAAATACTGAAAACCACTTATAGCTAATGAACACACTGTCAATCTACTTACATACGTTCTTAATCAGTTTTAATATTTTAACTGTCATATTTTTTACTTTTTCGCATTCACTGTTATTTAAGCAAACGAATCAGGATGATTTTTATTTCGTTTCCTCTCCTTGAATAATCTGACATGGATATAGCAAGATAAAACAATTTGTTTTACAAGATTAACATTTGGCATTATTTTTTCACTCTCAAGTTCAGCTTAATTTATCAAATATACTAAACCAAGAGACTGTCTGTTTAATGATAATTTACCAGAGACTGATATTGACAAACATTGGGGATAAAATATTAAACATGTCGTTAAAAAAAGATAGCCTCAATCTTTTTATAGACAAAAACATTACCGATACATTCAGAATGATGTTTATAGATATTTATGTAGCTCACGGTTTTTATTATTATTATAAATTAATTAAGGGGACATTTCTTATAAAATTGAAAGCAAATATGACAAAATATAAAGTTCTAAAGGGCTAAAAATAGAAAAAAAACTTAAGACATCTTCTATTTGATTGGCCTCTTTTAGGGGTCTCTAGAGCTTAAAATAGAAATACCTTTAAACGTCTATTTTACAGAACTAATTGATGGATGATCACCAAACTTTGTCTGTAGCATTCTTAGGTGGTCTTTTATAAAGTTCGCTCATATTAATTTGATTGGCCCTTTTTAGGGGTCTCTAGAGCTAAAAATAGAAAAACCTTTCGACATCTTCTTCTGCAGAAATAATTGATGGATGATCACAAAACTTTGTCTGTTGCATTCTTGGGTAGGTTTTAATCAAGTTTGATCATATTAATTTGATTTGCCCCTTTTAGGGGCCGCTGAAGCTAAAAATAGAAAAACCTTTAGACATCTTCTAAAGAACTAATTGATGGGTGATAACCAAACTTTGTCTGTAGCATTCTGGTGTAGTTTTTCATATTAATTTGATTGGCCCCTTTAAGGGGTCTCTAGGGCTAAAATTAGAAAAACCTTTAGACAGCTTCTTCTACATAACTATTCGATGGATGATCACCAAACTTTGTATGTAGCATTCTTAGGTAGTCTTTTATCAAGTATGCTCATATTATTTGTTTGGCCTCTTTTAGGCGTCTCTAAGGCATAAAATAGAAAAACCTATAAACATCTTCTTCTACGGAACTAATTAATGTATGATCACCAAACTTTGTCTGTGCTTCTTGGGTAGTCTTTTATCCAGATTGCTAATATTAATTTAATATGTCCCTTTTAGGGGCCGCTAATTTAAAGTTTAAAATAGAAATACCTTTAAACGTCTATTTCTACAGAACTAATTGATGGATGATCACCAAACATTGTCTATAGCATTCTGTGGTAGTCTTCAATCCGGTTTGCTCATATTAATTTGATTGGCCTCTTTTAAGGGTCTCTAGGGCTAAAAATAGAAACACCTTTAAACGTCTATTTTATAGAACTAATTGATGGATGGTCACCAAACTTTGTCTATAGCATTCTTAGGTAGTCTTTTATTAAGTGGACTTAGATTGTTTTTATTTATCCAGACTATTTATAAACTAATAACTATCAATCACTGGAACATGTTGTCCTATCAACAGTTCGTTTTATATAAAGTAGTGATAAGAAATAAGATTTAAAAACATCAGTTGTGTAAACAAAGATTATTTGAAAAATCTTAATTGAAATCAATACTGATAACAATTGAATTCTTAAATATTTCACACTTTTTATGCTGACACTAAACCGTAGGATATTGAACGAAGATAAATAAAATTGAATTTAACAATGATATAAAAACATGTAGAAGCAAAAATGAATAAATAAGTGTATCTCACATAAAAAGGTATTAGTTGAGTATTAACCACCAGTGAAATTTAACAATTTATGGATATTTGATCAGATCAAAATGCTTTCAAAAGATGATAAGTTCGGGATTATTTTTTCTTTAGGAACTATCTATTTTATAAGTTTTTGGCTATTAATAATTGGATATTTCACTCCAGGATGGTTAATTGTGCATTACGGTAGAAATTATCGGCGCAAATGCTTGATAGGGGTAGTGACGCAAAGCTGTGATACTAGTAGTTTTAATTTGGCCTTGAGAAATGAATTGAACGACAAATGTAAGTGAACAATTAGACTTAGTGTTATTATTGAAACCTTATGTTGATCATTCTTTATTTTGATGTAGCATGTTAATGAAGTAGCTATCCACTTTGTACAATACGTAAAATCATAATCTAACAACGGTACCGTTACGTAAACTATGTGAACGACTAAAAGTATTAAGAATGAATTCTATTTAACATTAATGCTTGATATATTGGAAGTCAAGTTATAGACTATAACATTCCATACTATTTAGATATATTTCTAACATTACAAAGTTTGACATTGTTTTATATTTAATTTATACAAATGAACTGATTTATTTGCGTTTTTATAATAGGATTTTTAAATGTTAGAATACTCTTATATAAACCAATTCTAAATCTTGCAAACATGTAACACGAAAAACCCTACACATTTTTAAGCAGCTTATTTTATGTTTCAAAAATCTATTGCAATACTAAACTATATAAATGTTTGCTGATTAAGTCCATAACAACGTGTCCTTATAAATGGTGTAATAAATTAGAAAAAATGGACCTTATCTATTATATTAAAATTGAAAAGCATTTTTATTCGCAGTGTCTCGTAATAATACTTTATCAATACTTAAAATAACGTATTAGATTTTCTGCTATACATACTTAAAATTGTTCATCTCTTATTACATATCAATAAGTAGAATACATTTGTCTTTAAAGTATATTAAAAGTGATTTAAATGCATGAAATAAAGATCGAAATAATGTAAATAGGGGCCCGTTTTTACTTTTTCGCTCATTCATTCACTCTTGCTCCCGCATCTATATGGTCTTAAATCTTTATGATTCCATTGCAGCCAGAATATTGGAAAACGTCTTTAAACTGATGACATCTGCAATTGTAGTCGTGTTCACCAATGCCAGTTTGCTCATTACGGCGCTTATATATGACTTGTATGAATATTCGTTATATATGTCGTTATTGTCAATCTCCTTTGGGATATTCTACCCCGTTGCCGGTAAGCAGACATATGAATACATGCAAAACTTTTAATAATATTTTGCACTTAAATAATAATTATAATATCATGAAATGTTTATATTAGTTTTATCTTATGTTATCGACGAATAGTGTATCAATCATATATCATGCGTCATGCAAGATATTAACATTTTAAGGTAAATTAATTAGTATAAACTATTTTTTTTACTGCGCATATCCATGTTAATAGTAGTCGGAGAAAATAAATGGTTAAACATGTATATATTATTTCAGCCATACTTATCCTCGTAGCAACTATATACGTTGAGGCAACGTGCACAGATGACACAGGTTATTCTACAATTATGTGTACAGTAGCTGGAAGTCTTATGCTGATAGTTGTTAGTACTAAGATTTATATATTCCGATACAGTTATGTACAATACTTACATAACTGTTACATAACATACACAAGTAACGAAAATTGTAACTGTAGTTGTAATTTATTTGAAGTTTGATTTTAAACAATTAACATAGATTTTCTCAGCTAAACATTTCAAAGGAAAATTATTTGCCTTTATTTTAAATGTAGTGATAAGTTTGAAAAATGTCTAAATCATTCATATAACTTTTAGCAATCGTTCCAATGCTGCATGTGCCTTTAGTAACCGTTATGATAGCTTCAAATTGTAGCGTATGTTTTAAATAAACTTAAATTTGTGCATCATGTATTAGCATTTAATTTCTTTTCTTCTTTTTTTTAATCGAAACAAACCTGATATGCACAAAAGCACTGCATATACAGCAACATGCAATTTAGTGCTAACTAGTTAAGACATCTTCCGTTCAATATCGTCTTTAAACGTTTCGCTTGTACAATAATTGTATGTTATTTCAGTACGCCGGCTTAATCATGTATGATAGACAATACATTCAGAGTATGACGGCACCATCTATTGTAAAAACCCGAAAACAAGTGCAAATGTCAAGGAAACCCAGAGGGAATCATGCTTCAATACATGACCACTCTAGCTGAAGAAAAATGTGTAAATCATGTCCGTCGTGAATGGGGTTTGCGAAGAACATGATTTAAACAGCAATGTTATAAAAGAACGATATTTGTCAATATTATATGCTCTTTGCTGAAGGTTTATCTCCTTGTTTAAACATAAAATGCAACATTAAGAGCAATGATTTGTGCAAGCTACTGATTTTAATTTTGTATGCCATAAGATTCATTTGGTTTTGTAACGCTTTAAATTGTCCGACTGAGACGAGTTTGGAATTAAGGAAATAGTTTATAGTTTTTCACTGTGGGCAAAATTATACCCAACATACCTAAACATTGGAAAGCAAAACTAGAGATATTGTAGATTTATGTTACATTTGCCTTTAGTAAATTGCTGTACCTTTTGTACTAAAACAATGACATAAAATTCAATGACAGTGTAATTTAATAATTTAAAATATTTATGTATAATGGTGCAAACTACCAGTATGTATACATTTGAAAACTAGACGGACAAGTGATTTCTCAAGCTATATTTGCCTTTTTAAGGATAAATTCGTGCTTTCGAAAGGCAACATTCATGTCAACGTTTTTCATTGGGGGTTTTGATTTAATTTTTGGTATTCGTCATATGTTGCAATATTCATTATTATTATAATTATGTAGAGTATCTTGACAATTTGCGTGAATGATTGAAAATATGATAATGTCAGAAAAAAGCATTGTTTGTTATTGTGTCTTTTTTTGTAATATATTTTTCATATATACAAAACAAGCTGAAGCCTCTGAACAATAGTTGACATCTTTGTCGTTTGAAACTGATTACTAAGTATCTATCTCCTGTATAATGATTTATGTAAGTTGGGAAGATACAGACGTAAAGTCAAAAAGCTTTTTATGGTAATTTATTGTCGGACTACGTACATTATGGCAAGCGAATGTCACTTTAAAGGTTCCATAGTATTTGCCTTCTGAATACATCAAACTTAACATTTGCCACCTAATTGAGCGTCATTAAGGTTTTCTTTTATATCTGGTTGATTATTTAACTTGATAGTGCAATGCTTCCAACACAAGACTTGTTTTCATTATTGTTCAGCTGTAACAACCAGCCCACATTCTACCCGGTAGTCAAATAAAATAATTAACCTAATAATACCCCCGAAACGAAGTTTGTGGGTGGGGGTATATAGCCGTCACCAGGTAGTCGGTCGGTCGGTTGGTTGGTTGGTCGGTCCAGCAGTCTGCTGCATGTGCCTTGTCCGAACCATAACTTGGAAACTAATAGTTGGAATCAATACAACTCCATACAATGATCAAGCACATTAAGAAGAAGTGCAATGTACAAGAACTATGACTCCATCTTGACTAATCACAGAGTTACAAGGAGAACTAACTCTAAACAAAAAACACAAAAATATATCAAAATTTGATACTTGTTTATTTTATGAATGGGAGAATACGGCCATGGCTCAATGAAGACTAAATTATTATCTTACATACAATAGAGCGAAGAAAGCCCTGGGAACAGATACTGACTTCGTTCCTTTTAAATTACAGTAACAACACAAAAAAGGCTGGTGGCGAATACTAAAATACGCCACTTGCAAAAATTCAACTTAATTAGGAAAATGTCCTAAGTAACACAAAATTGTCCATTCATATCCTTTCTCATCATAACAAAAAGTCATTTCACTATTTGACAAAAAACTAACAACTCATTGGCTGTTACATCACCAACAATCTGTTCTGTACACAAAGTCGCATTGACCATAGCATTAAGTCTGCCAAACTATATGTGAGCCATGACTTGCCTTGACAATCTGAAAAACACATCAAAAAACCAGCAGCAAACAGAAACATTGTTAATTTTCAACATATTATTTTGCATAAACACGGGTGTGGAGGGTGGGTGACCAAAATTTCAAGATACATTTAAACTTAAACACGATTATTTTACAAAAATATACACCCTGTCCAAAAGTTTGACCTTCCCTTGTACAAGATGGCGAATGGAAAGGTAGACTGCTAAATTCCGGTACAACCGTCATCTACCGTAAAAAAATAAACCATCAAGAATTACTCCCCTTGTAACGTGTTCAAGCATATAGGGCTTAAACAGTATTACAAGGAGAACTAACTCTAAACAAAAAACACAAAAATATATCAAAATTTGATACTTGTTTATTTTATGAATGGGAGAATACGGCCATGGCTCAATGAAAACTTAATTATTATTTTACATACAAAAGAGCGAAGAAAGCCCTGGGAACAGATGCTGACTTAGTTCCTTTTTACTTAATACAGCACAAAAAGGCTGGTGGCGAAAACTAAAAAACGCCACATGGCTGAATAATGACTAAATCAAATTCAGCCATATCGCCACCACAGAAAAAAGAAAAATTGAAATTCCACCCAATAATGTTTAATTCCTGAGCCATTTGCCATCTTCTCCCACCAGAGGTGAAACACTTGCATTGTCTTTCAAGAAGGCCTGAACAGCCTGTTGTAACCTATACAAAAATAATTCATTTCCCATGTGAGATAAATGAACCCCATCATCTCTAAACAGTCCAGTACTGGATTCAGTGATTTCGGGGTAACGAATATAGCCACCACCTAATGCAATAACTTTAGTGGCTATGTAACTATTAAGGCGTTTGCGAGCCTTCTCCATTGCTTGATGGGATATCTCATTGCGCCATTTCTGCCTTGGCAAAATTTGAGACCATACAAAAGTTACATCAGGCATTTCATGTTTAAGGATTTTAATTTTTCTTCTCAGTAGTAATACTGGTACTTGAGCAATATCATTGCCACCACAATGTAAAATTAAAATATGTGGTCGGTCCTCAAATTTCAATAAATGATGAATACAATTATAAAATAGATAAAAACAGAATCCCTAAAGAAAGTCCAACAAGGCAAAATTGAAAATGTTGCAGGCTCGGTTTGATTGAGCCTGTTCATGGACGGTACTGGAAAATGCAAGTTACCGTCCACGCCCCCTAGCACCGGCTTAAGCAGAATTCAACATTTAAACATGAAATGGTAAAATTTTGAATTTGTAAACATCCGCAGATGTGTTCATACGGCGGTTATCATGGAACCTTAAATGTGACACAGTTGTGCCATTCCATGAAAAGCGGCGTATGGTCCCCAAGTAATGAAAAGCGTGTGCCCTAAACGAGAAAACAATGGGCGGAACTAAATAAAATGGAATTTTCAAAGGGGATCAGAGGTTATGAAGCCTGCGTATCACAGATAAGACGTCAAAAGACAAATTTAAAAAGCAGGCAACATATCCTAAGGGTGATTCAACATTATTCAAGTAGGAATATTGGAACCACCCAACTAGAAAATGCCTAAAAATTGAAACTATAAACCTGATACAACCTCATGCCGCCCTTGCCCTGCCAGAATAACGAGGCATTGTGACGTTGTAAATCCAATTGTGATCCCCCCTTTATGATTAACCCGTGCATGATAGGCAGCCCACTTGATTATCGATGAACCAACAATCCATATGACCTTCCTAGGTACTGCAATTCTTAAAAATCTAAGTTAGATTTCCTGCAGCCACCAATCTACTGTGACTAATATAATTGTGAACAGACAATTAAATAGTTAGCTTTGAGAAATAATTTTGTTTACCGGTATTCTTATATAACCCTTAAATGCGTTTGATTGCCACCTACCAAGACCCTTTATTTCAGTGTCTGACAAACCCGCTAAAGCAGCTTCAGTGGCTGCACCTATTCTAAAGGAGTGAGATTTGATGTTTGTTTTAGCAAGGCCTAGAGCGCTTAAAATTGATAAATACAGAATCCCTAAAGAAAGCCCAACACGGCAAAACTGAAAATGTTGCAGGCTCGGTTTGATTGAGTCTGTTCATGGACGGTACTGGAAAGTGCAAGGTACCAGCCTTTTTAAGCACAGCATTAAATTGATAACGTGATACAGGTTGCCCTGAAAAATGGCAATAGAAAGGCCCTGGAAGTGATGGACGAACTAATTGAAATTGCTTTACAGCCATAACTGGACAAAATTCACCACCAACAGAAGAAATCTGTACTAACGCACCTTTTCCTGTTTGATCAGTTTTAGATGATTGTACAAAAATTTGTAACATGTCAGAAACAATTGAAACATTGTCAACTGATATAGCATGCTGCACATCAGGGGATTTTGACAAAACTAATTCACTTAGCCTAAAAAATCCGAAATAAGCTGTGAGAAACATAGATTTGAACAACGTTTCTTCGTATTTGGAAATACAGATAGCTGGTAGAATTGACACTAACTTCCCAAGTAAGTCAAAAGTTATTGGAAGCCTATTATCAACCCTTGACGAACTTTTGTCCAGGCCATTAAGAAGTTTACGTACAATAAACTTTTGAGTTATATCTTCAATATTGTTTATCTTGCAATGGAATGCGATACCAGATACATATTGCCTAACTGTTCTTGGGGCACGACCAATCAAAGAATTGTAAGCAATAAATCTAATCATTTGCTCCAATGGAGGTGGCCAGGTTAGTAACATTTGATGTCTTGTTCTGAATTGATTGAAAACTTCAATAGCATTTGTATATGCCTTGTGAGTATTGCTAGATAAACTGGAATCTAATAGTTTGTCTGCCTCAGCCCAGAGAGCAGATTCCGAAACCTGTCCGGGACCAAAGTGGCTTGCTGACCTGCATCTGGCGCCAGACGACGGAACCTGTCCCACTGCTTACGAGAAATAGAGTCAGCAATGCCATTATTAAAACCTGACACATGCACAGCTTTTATTTGGATATTATTCAACATCATATTTAAAACAAATGGGCGAAGCAGGTACATAACATACTTAGATTTTGAAGATTTTTTGTTTAAAATTGTAACTAAAGCTTCATTATCAGTGTTAAGGATAATTTTCTTACCCTTAAAATTGGGAAGCCAAATGTGAAAGGCAAGTGCTATGGGAACAAATTCTAGAAATGACAGATCAGCCATGATTGGTGACTTGCACCACTTTTTTGGCCATTGCATGAACACCCAATGCTTGCCAAACATTGCGGCACAACCTAAACTTAATGTGCCTGAGCTGTCTGTATATAATTGTAACACAGAATTATCGGACCAATTTAACTCTGGAAAAATGCAAGACCCATTGAAAAAATCAATGAAGAAAAGCCACATTTTTAAATCCTCTTTGATTGAGTGTGTAAGTCTTAAATGATGGTTTGGCTTTAAAATGCCACATGTAGCATCATAGAAACGTCTGTTAAATGCCCTAGAGCAAGGTATTGCCCTTGCACAGAAATCTAATAAACCTATGAGGGATTGAAATTCCTGTAATGTTGTCTTTTTTTTCTTAAGGAATAGGATTAGCAACTCCGAAAGCTTTACCAGTTTCTCTGGCGGTATTCGAAGTTGCATCATAATTGAATTTAGCTCAAAACCCAAAAACACGAGAACTTTGCTTGGCCAAACTGTCTTATCATCAGCTAAAGGTACACCTAAAGCCTTACAAATACCTAAAAATGCATTCATGAGATTCATACAGTCACTGGTGTCAGGTTTCCCCATGAAAATAAAATCATCCAAATAATAATGGACTATGCCATTTGGAGCCTTAGCCATTACTAACCATTCTAAGAATTTTGCAAACTTTTCAAATAGAGCACATGACAAAGAACACCCCATAGGTAAACATTTATCGATAAAATAAAAACCATTCAGAGTAAAGCCTAGTAAGCTAAAATCATTAGGATGTATAGGTAAAATCCTAAATGCATTCTCTATGTCAATTTTTCCAAGTAATGTATTACATCCTAGTAAACTGAGAGAATCAATGACTTTATCAAGAGAGGTGTACTTAACTGTGTCATAATGTGTCATCTATATAATCATTTAAACTTGAACCCTTTGGAAACGATAAGTGATGAATCAAACGCCATGATCCGTTCTTTTTTGGAACAAGGCCAATTGGTGATAACCTTAGATTTTTTAAAGGCCTCTCTTTAAAAGGGCCCGCTATTCGCCCTGCTCTGACTTCTTTCATAATCTTATTAACTGCCTCATTTGGATTTTGAATTACTGACTTTAAATTGTGACAAGAGGACTCAACTCTGGGCCCCTCATACATAAGTTTAAAACCAAACATAAAACCATTTCTTAAAAGTTCAGCATCCGTCTTGTTTGGATACTCTGCTAAAAAATCTTGTAGAACCGTAAGATTAATTGGCGACTTTGCCAGGCCAAGGGACGAAGCTGTTACTTCCACTTGCTCTAGCTCCTTGATTAGGACTTGACCTGCTACTAGAAACATTTGGTCTGTTTAATTTCAATTTACAAGATTTACTTGGATGAGATTTGCTACTGAGTATACACAAATGAAAATAATTGCAAGGTGCTTTATTGCAAAAGCCTTTGAAATTAAAGTCATAACACTTCTTAATCTGATTAGGAGAACTTTTAACTTGAGAGGAGCTACGACTATTGTAAACATACAATAACCACAATTCCTGGTCAACTTTAAACCATGGCAATGATGGGTTACGAGCCTTTTTGTGCCTAAACTGTTCATCGTAGCTTAGCCAACCTTTACCCATGACTCTTGAAGCTGCCAAACGAACATTGTACATGTATTTTAAGAGACCCTGGCTTTCATTGCAATGTACCGAACTGTAGACGGAAGCATAAATCAAAAAGGCATCTGTCCAAGCATGAATATCTAAGGAAGATTTAGTCACTTTCTCTTTTACTAGAATATTGCCATCAATAACAACAACTTGCTTGTCATCCGAGTCCTTATTAGAGGGTAAAAGTGTATGTAACTCGACAAACTCTCCATTAATAATTTTTGTTTTAGTCCCATTACTCAAATGAACCCCTAGATTGTCTTCTAAAGAAGGCTCACCTGACATAGTGTCATCAATTTGTTCAGCCCCATGCTGTATCTGCTGAGGGACATGCATTTTTTTAGCAACTTTTTCTGCCACTTGGTCCAACTGCTGATCAGATAACTGGATGACATTACATGTACTTGATGTAGGGACTGACGCATCATCACCTGAAGCCACTTTCCTCTTTTTAGCTTTAGGCATCTGTAACGGTTATAGTGTTCTAATAACAAATAACTGAACTATACATATATACATTGTAGCAAATCACATACACAAGCAGGCCAACACCTGCAAATTAAGATTACCAACAGACGCAAAGTTAACGACTGTTTATGTGAGAACAAAATTCATCAGACATTAACTCTATCACAATTACCCCACATTTCAAAAGTATACAAGTGGTCAAGCACCTGCATCAAATAGATTACCAACAGATGCCTAATTGGCAACTGTTTACATGGGCAATCAAATACAAAATAAATGTGAATTGAAATAATAATCAAAATATACAAGTGGTCAAACACCTGCATCAAATAGATTACCAACAGACGCCCATTTTTGGCAACTGTTTACATGGGCAATCAATACAAAATAAATGTAAAATGAAATACAAGTGATCAAACACCTGCATCAAATAGATTACCAACAGACGCCCAATTGGCAACTGTTTACATGGGCAATCAATACAAAATAAATGTAAATGAAATACAAGTGGTCAAACACCTGCATCAAATAGATTACCAACAGACGCCCAATTGGCAACTGTTTACATGGGCAATCAATACAAAATAAATGTGAAATGAAATAAGTACCTAAATATACAAGTGGTCAAACACCTGCATCAAATTAATTACCAACAGACGCCCAACTGGCAACTGTTTATATAGGCACTCAAAAACGAAATAAATTGAAAGAAATACCATATTAACTCTAAATATGTATGGTATTCAATACATTCTGCACACAACAGTGACATGTATCATAATATAAATGTGAAATGAAAATAAATGCCAAGTTACATATTATCTAAATATGCATGACATTGCCATTAAAAAAAAACATACAACACTGAACAGTAGCATTTTCAATACTTCTATAACCTCTACCAGACAAAAAGCATTTTCCACAAAATTTGTAAGCTACTGCCAGGCAAATTGAAAATTGCAGAAAAAAAAAACTTGTGCAGAAAATAAAATGGCACCACAGACAGAGTGCATAACCACAACAGAGAATCAAAACCCTGATGGGCTACTTGGCACCGCCAGGAACCTTGTTTATTTGACATCTTGAATACTTGAGAATAATATAGATCTATATTATACCACCTTCGACCTAAGAAAATCCTTTTGTCAAGCTGTCAGACCCAGGGATGATGAACCAGAGATAAAGGATGCTTCAACTGTAAAAGACTGTTTAAAATTAAAAAATAAATAGATTGATCAAGAAACTAATCTTTGCATGAATAAATTTAGTGGTCTCGCACCACTTCACATTACTTCAGTGAGCAGGCCTGCGTTCGACCTAATGATATATATTATAATCATATAGCCTAGCTCAATCAATAAATTTTCAAACAAATAAATGTAAATAAATAATCTTACATCCTTCTAACATTGGTAGAACTACCGATGAAATCATTTTCCGATAACGGCTGCTTAAACAATGTGATCAAAATTGCCAATCAGCCTAGCTCAAACACTTATAATTCCAATTACCTATTAAATTTTAAGACAATTTAAGTGTACATATATAATCAAACATCCAAATCTAACATTTGTAGAACTACCGACGCAAATATTTTCCGATAATGGCTGCTTCCTATACAATGTGATAAATTTACTATATCAAAATCCGCGTCAATCCGTATATAAAACAATGTAAATAAATATCAAAAATATTCCTGCTTATTTACTAATGTTTAATCCATCCATTATGACCAAAATTTCAAGATACATTTAAATTTAAACACGATTATTTTACAAAAATATACACCCTGTCCAAAAGTTTGACCTTCCCTTGTACAAGATGGCGAATGGAAAGGTAGACTGCTAAATTCCGGTACAACCGTCATCTACCGTAAAAAAATAAACCATCAAGAATTACTCCCCTTGTAACGTGTTCAAGCATATAGGGCTTAAACAGTATTATTGCCATTTCTTACTTTTCCTTTACCGGAGCATAACTTGAAAACTACTTGTTAGAATTCAAAACAGCTTGATACAATGGTCTAGCACAATAAGGGAAAGTGCAGTGCACAAGAACCAAAACTCTATCTAAAGTAATTGCAGAGTTATTGCCCTTTGTAACTTTTCCTTGTCCATAGCATAACTTGAAAAGAGCTGATCGGAATTCAAAACAACTTCATACAATGGTCAATCGCAATGATAGAAAGTGCAGTATACAATAACCATAAGTCCATCTTCAGTATTTGCAGAATTATTGCCCTTTGTTCCTTTTCTTTGTCCGGTGCATTACTTAAAAACTTATGTTAAGAATTCAATGCAACTTCATACAATGGTCAACCACAGTGAAAAGAAATACAACATACTAGAACCACAACTATCTTTAATTGCCCACAACCATTACTCTATTCCAATTCTTTCACAAAGTATTCTGTTATTTGTAACTTCCTCATTTCCGAAGAAGTCTTGCGGGGGTATTAATCACATTAAGTGATAGTTCTAGTTTCGTTTTTGTACCGATAACAATACAATTAACTGCTCATCGTGATAATATGATATCATAAAGAAGAATGTGCTGTTTGACTGTTTAATATGCTAAATCCAAATTGATGTCCTGTAAAATATAAAGCAAAACTCCAAAACCGCATATATAGGTTAATTAAAGCTATAAAGTGTTTTGGGGAACTAGAAGTACATGTCAATAATACAAGCTAAATTAGTTTCTGTCGATAAGTAAGCATTGTGTCCCTTTCAACATAGCTGTTGTCAAACTAAAGCAATAAAAACTCTCTATTGTACGGAGAAGACAATACCATTTTATTCCATTTGTAGCTATATTTAGTTTTAACGTTGTCGTGAATATTGACGATAAGATGTAAGCACGTCTTACAGCCATGTTTATAGTACAATGAATCAAAAACCAATAAAGCTAACATATGTTTTAGTACTTTTATATAAACGATCAAGGATTAGAAAGGATATCAGCAACAGAATACTTGATGTTTTGATAGTGTCTTTACTTTTTCATTTAATTTTTAAAATATTGTGTATATATGAAATTTTAAATGATGGAAAAGTAATGTAAAAGGAAGTGAACGGCAATGTTTAATAAGTTTCAGTTTTATCTATTTTTATCAATTAAAATGGCAATTTACTTGTGTGTTACATAAATCCACTCTAACGATTGATGAATATTATAATTAACTGATTTTGTTGAAGGATTGCAATAATTGAATAACGTTGTTTATTTATATTTCACTTGAAGACGGATTGGTGAATTTACAAGAAATGATCTGATATAGTACCAAATATAAAACGGAAAGAAAACAACAATTGTAACTATGGAAACATATGAAGAAACATTAATGACGTACCGGGATTATGTTATTTACAAACACATACTTTCAGTTGTGCCACCAGTTCTTTTAATTGTTGGTACTTTTGGAAACATATTTTCGTTTTTCTTTTTAATAAAGAAAAATGTACGAAAGGCATCTACGTACTGTTATCTAATAGTTTTAGCAATTATGGATTTACTAGTGCTTTATGGGTCTGTTTCGACTATGGCTTGGACAATTTATGATAAACATTGAGGAAATAAGTAACGGGTTTTGCAAACTTGTAAAATTCCTAGGATATTTTTGCAGCGATGTGTCTGTATGGCTTATTGTTGCAGTGACTATTGAAAGAACTGTAGTTGTGCTATTTCCACTTAAGGCAAGATTATGTAATGCCCGAACCTCTCGTTTATGTATTTATATACTTATGCTCATTTTCTTACTTGTAAATTGCCATTTCTTATGGTTTGTAAACCTTCAACATTTTTCATATAATTCTTCCATTATTTCAAAATGCCAGGCAAAGATTGGCTATATATATATTGTAGACATTATTTGGCCATGGGTTGATGCGGTAATTTATTCATTTTTACCTTTTTTAATTATAATGATATTAAATAGCCTTATTATTAGAAATCTTATAACTGCAAAAAAAAGACGAAACGATTTAAGGCAACATTCTTTACTTTTATCCAATCATTCACAACAAATGGCGGGAAGTGAAACGAGCCACAAAATTACGTGCATGTTGTTAGTTATATCCTTTGTTTTCCTTGTGACAACGTTGCCAATGGCTATAGTGTTGATACATACATCGCTTGCTGACAGTGTGGTGGATGACAGCACACTTACAAGGAGGTTGCTGATTTATTCAATTGCGGAAATGTTTATGTACTTAAATCACAGTATAAACTTCTTTCTTTACTATGCAACAGGCAGCATTGAGATCTGTCGCAACAACACAAGAAGACAACCAAGAAAAGAATCATTAAAGACACAGGAACTTTTACGTTTGAATGCGATAGAGTCACTTTGCTCGCACGAATAACAGTAAACATAACTGTAAGGAATTAAAATATGTGTTAAATGAAATAAATATTATGTATTTTGTATATATCGAAATCTATTTTTATTTACATTTCTATTAAAAGTGTGATACATCTGAACATGTGTACTTGAAGCTATTAACACAAGATCAAATTCAAGATAATGAACGTTATAAAATTTGTTACATATGTTTGTTTTACATAAATTGTAAAAATTAAAGCAATATTGAATATCCTTGTAAAATGGCATTACTTTTTATTCAACACTTGTAATGTGTACATTTCTTTAGTTAAATTACAAAAAAGAACAGCAAAGAAGCTAACTTATATATTTTTTTATTTTATAAAGATTCATCTCAATGTAATTCCCCCGGCGTTTAGGAAGTAGCCCGTTCGTAATAAATAGTTCTGTCCATTATTACACCATGCTTTCTTTGAATAAAACAATCAGGAATGACAAATGATGTTATATCAGGCGATTTTACGATGATGAGAGGATAACAATTGGACCCATTATTTTCTATTTTTGCTAAACCATTCTTAGTATAGTTCGCCTGTTTTGCTTTTTTCTTTGACATCTGTTAATTATACGCAGGTGTTATCAGCTTTGACCTTCTAGAAATTTCATTTAACGTCCTTCCGCCTTTTCCTCTCAAGGGAACACGTCTCTTTTATTTTAGAATCATGTGGTGCTTTTCATTAAATTGTCACATAGACATTCAAAATAAGTAACCTTACCCTGTTTAAATGGTTCATGTTCTTTAATTTGGTGTCAGTGGAGGACATTAGTTTGTACTAACCTTCCACTGCCGCTTTAGTTAGTAATCAAGAGATATCTAAAGAATCATCAAGGGCATAAAAACGTTTTACATTTGAATGTGAAAGAATCAATTCCTCGAATGAATGTCATATATTATTTTAGTGAATCAAAATATGTTAACTGAAATAGAGATAATATATTTTATATCAACATAATGTTTGTTCTATTTTTTTTTAACGATAAGTTATGATCTAGTATACATACAGCTGCTTTAGGAACTATCAATAATACAAGATCAAACTCATGATAATGAACTTTATAAAAATTGTAACATATGTAAATATGGAATGATTCAAATAAAGGCAATAAAGCTGCCATTTAAAAAACGTCCATTAATTCTCAATCAGATTTTGAAATGAATGCCTTTGTCTACTTGAACCTAGCTACACAATTTTAACACTAAGTTAATATAAAAACAGAAGAAATAAACACAATAAATCGATGACAATACCTCTTAATAATATCCTTACGCCGTTTCGGAAATTGCCTAAAGCCGACAGACAGTATGCCAGTACATACACCATGCTTTATTTGAATCATAATTGGATATTACAAAGGATGTTGTATCATAGTTTTGGGACCTTTCTGTTGAAAATGTGTCAGAGTTAAATCGTATACATATACATGCACAGTGCGTTAACTGGAGTGCAGGTATTAGTTACCCGCACTCCAGAGCATGCCCATTGATTGGCTCATTTTTGCTGGGGTTTACTTATTGTGACGGCAGAGAAAGGGAAAGCGACAGAAATATCATATTCAGATGCTCGTTCATTGGTTACTTTTTTCTGGGGTTTCATATTGTGACAACAGGGAACGTGTTTTTATGTTTGACTATGATACAAAAGAGAAAGAACATCAAAACACTCGGCAATCTGATTTATACTCGGGGGCTACGCCCCCCTCGTACAAATCAGATGCTTTTTCTATTACTAATAGCAAGCTTATTAGCGATGATAACTAGGAACAATTTTACTTCTATGTTTGCGTATCAGTCTTACGAAAACTATATTGGCATGTATTGCATTTTTTTCTCTTTAAGATCTGTATATTATACGCAGATTTCATACGGTTGGACCCCCTAACAAAAATCAATGGAGCATACGTCCGACGTTGTTTATCTTAGGGGCACGTGTCACATTTAGTTTTGAATCATGTGACACCACACATAAATAGCACGTGATGGTCACATCTATTGTTACGCGATCTCCAACGATTTATCCATATTCTTTCATCGTACTTTCTTATATTTTAATATTTTATGCTCCTTAATTGGATGCTAGGGGACTTATACGGTAGTTAGTTGTTTCCACTGCCATTAATAAGCTGTATTAAAATAATTCTGTGTTTCATGTTGCAATGTCGGACGTCTTTAAAGGTTACCATATGAAATTGTTGTTGAAACTATCATGTAATGAACAATGTCATTAAATGCAGACACACATATTTCATTACATAAAATTTA